TTTATTTTCTTTTTTTTTTTTGAACATGAAATGCTTTTTTATAGCATGTTTTACAAGGGGAGGGGGTAAGAGGGTCCAGGTGGTGGAAAAGTACAAAATCTTCTTGGCCTGTGCCTTGAAACATGTCATGGTCTATATGGTACACTGCCTTGAATTATGATCTACCTGCAGTTCTTCAGAAGATATGGTACACTGCTTGAGTTATGGTCTCCCTGCTATTCTTAAGAAGACATGGTACTCTGCTTTGAGTCTATCTGCAGTTGCTAAGCAGGATCTTGCAGCTGCCAAGCTTCAGAGGACATTATGCAGGTGGGGAAAGGTAGGGGGTAAGGGTAAGGGCGAGGGTCCTGGCTTCTGGCATCTCCCCCTTCTCTGTTTAGTTAGAGAAGGAGTCTTATGTTCAATCCCAACTATGTGAGTTTTGAATTTGGATGTCTAATTATGGGGGGTCTTAGACAAGTTCACAACCCCAAAACACTGATGTGAGACAAGTCACATCGATGGTCGAAGGCTTTAGGCTGTCGACGATGGGCAACGTCAAGGGACTCTGATGTGGGTGAAAGGAGGGTGAGAGCCCTGTCTTAGGCCATGTAGGCTGCATCCACTCCCAGCACCACGCACTCCTTTTCGGCTGCATTGGGTGGGCCCCTGGGAAGTGGACCTACAATAATCCCGTCATTGGGCTAACTCACAGCCATCCTAGTCTCTTGTATATGTTCAAGTTACCAACCATTTGTCAGTTTGGGGTGTAATATTGTCATAAAGGAAGGCTCCCCAATGTTAGCGGCCATATCAAGGGTGGCCTTGGTTTAGGAAAAAGCCAATTTTTGTTGTGGTGATCAAGAGGCCAAGCTCTCTAGCGAGAGAAATGAGGGCAAAGCCAGGCATACCAGGTACCCTTCTGGAGGGCGTGGAAGTCTAGGGGTCGACCATAGGGGGAGGCAGGGGAGCTGACAGCTGTGTCAGTCTCCTGCGGAGTCACTTCTGGATCCTCTGCAATTTTCAGCTGATGGTAATGAACTTCAACTGCCTTCTTGATGGCAGCATCAACCTGGTTCCGTGGACGACAGGTCACGGGCGATGATCTCTGTCTTGCTCAATCTTGATGTCGTGCACACATCCTCTCAATGAGGGTCCGTCCGGATGGGTCCTTGCCTCGAGCCCCACGTCTGGGTGCCACTTGACCCGACCGGCGGGTCCTGGTTATTCGTGGGGGCGAGGAGGACTGCAACCTGCTATTCTTCAGAAGATATGGTACACTGCTTGAGTTATGGTCTCCCTGCTATTCTTCAGATGATATGGTACACTGCTTTGAGTCTATCTGCAGTTGCCAAGCAGGATCTTGCAGTTGCCAAGCTTCAGGGGACCTTGTGCAGGTGGGAAAAGGTAGGGGGTGAGGGTAAGGGCGAGGCTCCTGGCTTCTGGTCCATCTGGGTTAGAACTTCTAATAGCAGGCATCACGGGTGATTCAATTTTACCTGGAAAGAAAAAAGAAGGGGATTCTCAGGGAGATTTCTCTTTCCTGGATGTAAATTGTTATTCATCGTATTTATGATTGGGCCTGGCTTTGTGAGGGTATCTATTTTTTTCATTAATATTTGTGGTAGCCGGTTAGCTGTGCCTTCTGTGGTATTGGGCAGGCATATCAGTCCTCGGCTCCAGAAGGGAACTGGGACTGGGACCCAAGTTTTCTTGCTATATCATAAACAATTGCTACTGCTAGCCATCCACTGATGTACATGTCCTCACTGATTCAAGAAATGTTAATCGGGTTCTTTATGATATACAGGTAATGGTTCAGTTACTTGGAATATTTAAGTAAACAAAATACAACCAAAGAAAAACATGAGTTTTGAGGGTATACTCTATAGATTCAAAGTTCCCAAGTAAGGTAGGAAATATGTCTAAAAGAGAAGCCATTTCTCACTTGTGTTGGGCCTTGCATATTTTACCTGTGATAAGAATTTCTGTCTTGAATAGGAGTTGGCTAAAGTAGGCATAGTATCCCATTTCTAGTGGTGCTAGTCTGTCTAGGAGAGAGCAATGGAAGTGTATGGAAAAGGGTTTCCACTTGTACCCAGAGGGCATTAGAGAAGACTCAGTTCATTGTAGGCACCTGAGAGTCTTGAACAAACAACAGAAAAATAACAGAAATATGAAGTTACAAGAGCAAGTCATTACATACCCAGAAGGTATCATTGTGAAACCAGTGGTAAGAACACCATTATTGCAGCTCTTAAAGTTTTGAAGAAAGGTTTTAGAAAATAAGGTTGCCAGAGAAAATATAGAATTGTTTCAGATGAACAATGATTTTAAAAATTATTCTTGTAATATTTGATAGAGATGTTAGAGACATGTACGTGAAACACTGTTTCATACTCACCTGAAACGAAGTCACCTGGGCGTTTTGCTACTTTTATTTGGAAAATCTAGTAATCTATTTGAATACAAAGGCCGTATGAAGGCATAGTGATCAGACTCCATGATCTGATCTGGATTGTTGAGAGTTGCCATAGTTACTTGGCTTTGGGAAATAAAGGCCCCATTGAAGCATTTCCTAGAATACAGGGGTGGAGTCACTGAAGTAATTGCTAGAGATCTTACTTCTATGAGATGGCAAAGACAAGAAAGGGAGTAAAGCTGGAAAGGGAGACCTCTAACTACTGAAAACATCTAGTGCTCACCAGACCAGAGGAACCATGTTAGTGGGTTTAGGAAAAAAGAATGCGTTATCTCCCTTAGGGATCACACAGTCTTCTCTATCAAGTATGAACAAGGCAGGGCTGCTTTGTTTTTTATTCCCTCCATACACAGTGGCTCCTGTGTTCTGGCTCCTGTTTTCATGGGGCTGTAAAAGCATTACAGAACCCCAACAGTAAACAGGGCTGAGAGTGTGAAGTCATAGTAACATGACCTCATAGTAACAGGAGTCAGGTCCTTGGAAGGCTGGGTAGATGGGTAGAACTGGAGTTAAAGTGAAGAACAGGAAGGAGGAGGAGGCTCTATAAGATGTCCGGCCCAGGCATGTCTTAGCAGTTGTCATGGGTCTTATATTGTGCCTCATCTATTGCTGGTAAGTTTGTATCAAGGAGTCTGATTACATAGACTCTAAAATGACACCTTTCGTGCCCTCGTGAAGAAGATGGAGTGAATTGAGCTACAATGGTGGAGAGGAGGAAGGAAGAAGCAGATGTGTGGCTTGAGGACTCTGAGAAAAATAGCCAGAGCTTTAGTAGTAGTTTTATCAATTGTGTAATTGGATTTGAACAAAATCAATCTGTTGGAATATGTCAAGTAATTAGAATCGGTTGCTTGTATGGAGTGATTAATAAAAAGAAAGCCACGGACATGCTGAGAAATGAACAGTTATTAGTGATATGCTGGTAAAGAAAATTCTTTCTTTTGGCATTTGTTTTTAGTACATTATTGCAATATGTAGGAAAACTTGTGGAAACATAACTCGAAAGAATGAGTGTGTGTGTACTCACACATGTATGTGTATGCATATGTTTGTGTATGTGTGCCTATAACTTACTTGGTTGTAACCAACATTGTTCTTGGGATACATAATTTACATTCTGCTACTGATGTGGCTAAAATCTATTAATTTCCTTACTGTGAAAGTTCTAAGAGTTTATATAGGCATGTTCTAATCAATTAAATGTGTCAGAAAATGATTGCCACTTAACTTTCTAAGTAGGTTCAGGATTAAAAACATTGAAATATTCATTTTCATGAAATGATCATCATAAGAAAGCACTTTGTTGTTATTTGTTGTTTTTTGTTATTTGTTTTGTTGTTGTTTTCTGTTGGAAATTGAAGGTAACGTATTGTTTAAGAAAGAATCCTCATTTGTGTAGTTGATTTCTGATTAGCTCATTGTTTGCAATTGATAATAGTTTGTAATTTGACTTAAAGGTGAAAATAATTAGTATGGCTTTGGTCCTCCTCTATTTTGTATTCTGGATTTCCCCTGTGGTCTCTACTAGGAACAAGAAAATTGACGTGACTGGAATACATTTTCACATAGGTGAATGTAAAAGACAATCTGACTTAATAGCTTGGGCCTATGTAGGCTCTATATTGTGACTGGCTGTCAAAAAACTATGACATATCTTATTCTTGTGTTAAACACACAAACACACACACACACACACACACACATATATAAAAAGATATCACAGTTATTAAAAAGAGATCATAAAATATAATAATCTTGTCCCTAAGTATCGACGTGATGACAGATTTTTCTCAAAATACTTCATTCAAAACATAAAGAGGTCTAAACAACAGGTGGTTCTGAGAGTCCTTTTGTCCTCTAAAAGCTAGCCATCAATTTGTAAAAAGTGTAAATCACTGAATTTTATATTATTTTAGAAGTTGTTTTTTTTTGTAAAAATATATTACTTGTATTATATAAAATGAATTTTTGAATATATTATTCTTTGCATTTTTGTTTTATTTATCAATATGGTATATATTGATAGATAAATTGACATTATGAAGGAATTTGTTGGTGTTCTCACGTCTTTAAAATGTTAAGGTCCTACAATCAAAGCCATTTTTTTAGGGCTTAGGCCTAATAATACACAAGTTCTCATCCTGTGTGTTATTACCCCTCGGGGTGTTGAACAACCCTTTCCTATAAGTCTCCGAAGACCAACTGAAAACTATCACAATTCATAATAGTACCTAAATTATAGCTAAGAAATAGCAGTGAACACAATTTTAATGTTGGGGTCACCACAGCATGAGCAACTGTATTAAAGGGTTGCAGCGACAATGAGATTTTGGGCCACTGGCTCAGGCAATTATTTTTATAGTTTTTAAAATTATAGCACTCAAATCATTTTTGTCAAGTATTTAAATAGAAAACAGTGTTATTGAAAATAATTTTATATAGTTGTTTTTTCATTGTCTCTGTAACTGCATCCATTATTTCTCTTTGGTTATACAAGATTTTTTTTTCTATTTTCTTTTTTCTTTCTTTGTTTTTAAAGTAGAGAGCATTGCTTTGCTGAGGGGAAAACAACACGACTAGATACTGATTCTGAAATGGGGAGCACTGACATTCTGGAGAAGGAGACCTCAGAGAATCTCAGCAATGGCACCAACAGCAATGTGGAAGCAGCTAAAAGATTGGCCAAGCGCTTGTATCATCTAGACAGATTCAGAAGATCGGACGTTGCGAAACATCTAGGCAAAAAGTATGTTCTTAAGTCCGGTATTTGGCTGAACTTTATATCCTGTGCTTATTTTGTATTTTTTAAAAAATAGTTGTCAGTTCAATAAACTCTGTTCTGTTTCCTTATAGCAATGAATTTAGCAAGTTAGTTGCAGAAGAGTATCTGAAGTTTTTTGATTTCACAGGGATGACGCTGGATCAGTCTCTCAGGTATGATGAGATATTACTTCTGTCCTTCATCACCTCCAAGTCATGACTTCTTAGCACAGAGACAATATCTTCTGGTTAGAGTCTCACTTTTCACCCCAATTCCATTTGCTTTGTGAGTTTGAATGATAATCTGGATCCTAAACACAGAATAAGAAAAATGTCATGCTTCACATGACATGTCATATTTATATATGACATTCACATGACATTCTATAGTAACAGAGAATAAAGCAACCATAAAATAAGCGTGACCTGATACCCAGCATGCAGTAGTAAAGCTGAGTCCACATAGAATACTGGAGAATGGCCTGAAAGCAAATCTGGCTCTCTTTTGAGGGTTTCCTTTTAATTTTCTATTACAGTAAAATATATGCAACTGAATTCTTATTGTAACCAAGGGCACCATCACTGATACTGATACACTCATAGAGACGGACAGCTGCCAATCACTAATTACTTTCACTCCTTGTGCCTTTGTGCCAGATATCTATCTCTCTCTTTCTCTCTCTCTCTCTCTCTCTCTCTCTCTCTCTCTCTCTCTCTCTCT